TGCCCATCACACTGCTGCTGTCCTTGCCTGTGAGCTGTGGGTGCAGCCCCAGCACCTCGAGCCACAGCCTGCACTTTCCATATTGCACTGCCTGGAGCTGGGAGCATTTACAGGAAATGCCTCTTTGTGGGACCTTTGGACCACAGCTCACAGCCTGTACTGGGTGGCACCATGCTGGCAGCAGCATTGCTAAGGCACGGCCTGCCCAGGGTGGGGGCATGGAGCATCCCAGACTTGATTTGAAAGGGATGGGGTTGTGGATGGACTTGCACTTGTGGGGCAGCATTGTGATACTGATGTAGCCCGGGAGGCCTCCCACCCCCCTAGTTTGAAATCAGCATGCTCAGCATGCTCCCTGAAATGCCTTTAGACCATTGCACACATCGTGGAAAATAAGCAGGAGGAGTTAAAAATCTGTGTTTAGGCAGATTGTGATCTGGTGGCAATTACAGAAACGTGGTGGGACAGATCACACGGCTGGAATGTGGTCATGGATGGCTGTGTCCTTCTCTGGGAATTCAGGCCAGCAAGGCAAGGTTGCTCTTTACATGAGAGAGCAACTACAGTATTGAGTACTGTGCAGTGGCAGATAGGAGCAGGTTGAGAATTTGTGGGTGAGAATTAAGGGGCAGACTGGCATGGGTGATACTGTTGTGGCTGTCTATTACAGGCCACCAGATCAGGATGAGGAAGCGGACGAGGCCTTCTGCAAGCAGCTGCTAGCAGCCTCACCATTATGTGGTTATCGTGGGGATTTTAACTACCCTGGTATCTGCTGGAAGGCCTCCTCAGCCCAGCAGCTGCAGTTCCAGAGGTTCCTCCCAAGCATTGATGGTAACTTCCTGATGCAAACAGTGGATGAACCAACCAGGAGAGGAGCGCTGCTGGATCTTATTCTCACTAATAAGGAGGGTAAGGTTGAAATGCTGAAGGCTGAGGGCAGCCTTGGCTGCAGAGATCATGTGGTGGTGGAATTCAGGATCTCGTGTGGCAAGAACGGAATACGGAGCAGAACCAAATCACAGCTCTGGACTTCAGAAGGGCCAACTTTGGCCTTCTCAAGCAATTGCTAGGGGAAATGCCATGGGATGGGGTACTTGAAGGTAAAGGGGCACAGGGTTGTTGGTTAGCAATCAAGGACCATTTCTTCCAAGCTGATGATCAGCACATCCCAGCAGGTAGGAAGTTCAGAAAGGGAGCGAGGAGACCTGCACGGTTCAACAGGAAACTGCTGGGCAAGCTCGAGTGGAAGAGGAGAGTCCACAGATCATGGAAGGAATGACTGGTCACCTGGGAGGATTATAAGACTTGTCAGAGGATGTAGGCAGGCAACTAGGAAAGCTAAGGCTTAGAATTAAACCTCGCAAGAGGGGTCAAGAACAACGAAAAGGGCTTCTTCAAATACAACCCAGATAAAACCAAAGCTAGAGGCAAAGTCGGCTCAGTGGTGAATGAGGAGGGCGCCCTGGGGACAGAAGATACAGAGAAAGTGGGCAGTGTTGCAAGAGCAGCTGAAGTGAAGCGGGCATTGCTGTGCCCCCAGCCTGGAAAAAGCCTCGGAGACTGAGAGGAGTCCCAGTGTGTGAACCACGTGGGCTGTTCTGATGAAGCGAAACTGCAAACCTGTTCACACAGCTGCACGGGGAGGAGGGTTGATATCTCGCTGCTCAGCATAGTGGGAAGCTAAAGGAGGAAGCAGAAAGGCTGAGGAGCGCCTGGGATTGCAGGAAAGGGATCGATTGGTGGAGTTGTTCTGCCATCCCTACTGGAAGGGTGCTGGAGATGCTCCTCAAGAGTGGGGGATCGTCTGCCTTCTCACAGTCAGGTGGAAAGGGGCGACCTCAAAGACGGCGAGGGATGGAAACCAGTCCCTGTTTGGGGCAGTAAGCCGACTGCCCCTCAGCCTGTCTCACCTTCCCAGGTGCCCTTACGTAACAGGTGTGAGTCTCTGGAGCTGGAGGGACTGGGGGGATGTGCATATCAGTGAAAGTCCATCCGTGCAGGAGAGGTTGCCCAAGGTTAGTCAGTCTGCTACAGCGTCAGTCAGGAAAAAAAGAAGGGCTGTTGTCGTAAGGGACTTCCTTCTGAGGCGAACCGAGGGCCCGATATGCTGCTTGGATCCGTCCCACAGGGAGCTCTGCTGCCTGCCTGGTGCCCAGGTGAGGTGTTGCCAGGAACATCGCTCGCCTCGTTAAGCCCTCCGATTATTATTCACTACTGGTTTTCCACATTGGAAATGAAAAGGTAGGCAAAACAAGTTCTGGGACAATCAAAAGGGACTTCAGGCCCCCAGCACAGGAAGGACGTGGAGCTCTTGGAGCGAGTCCAGAGGAGGACACTGAGATGAGCACAGGGCTGGAGCAGCTCTGCTGTGAGGAAAGGTTGAGGGATCTGGGCTTTTTGAGCTTGGAGAAGAGAAGGCTGGGGGGAGACCTCATGGTGGCCTTCAGTGCTTGAAGGGAGCGGATAAACAGGGGGGGAATGGCTGTGTGTGAGGGTGGGTGGTGATGGGACAAGGGGAATGGTTTTAAAGTGAGACAGGGGAGGTTTGGGTTGGATATGAGGAGGAAGTTTTTGAGCCAGAGGGTGGTGAGGCACTGGCACAGGTTGCCCAAGGAGGCTGTGGATGCCCCATCCCTGCAGGCATTCAAGGCCAGGCTGGATGTGGCTCTGGGCAGCCTGGGCTGCTGGTTGGTGACCTGCACACAGCAGGAGGGTTGAAAGTCGATGATTATTGTGGTCCTTTTCAACCCAGGCCATTCTATGATTCTACGATCTCTTGAGGTCGCTTCCAATCCCTGACGTTCTGTGATTGTGTTCCCCCCCTGAGTGCATGAGGATGGTGGGATCACAGAACGTCCTGAGTTGGAAGGGATCCTTGACTCCACGTTGGACAAGCCAAACAAAAACCCTTTGTGTGAGAGTGGAGTCCCAGCACTCTGGCAGTGTGGTCCCAGCACTCGAGTTCATGCCCACTGCCGAGGCGAGTTGCTCCCTGCTCACCATCCTCTGGGGCAGAGCCTTACCCTTTCCTCCATCCAACCCTCCCCTGACAGCTCCATGCTGTTCCCTCACGCCCTGCTGCTGCCACAGAGAGCTGAGCTCAGTGCTGCCCATCCGCAGCCTTTGAGGAGCTGTAGATCCATGAGGAGGTGCAGCTGCAGTGAGCCCTCCCCTCAGCCTCCTCTGCTTTGGGCCCAATAAACACAGGGCCCTCAGCTCTCCTCACACCCCTTGCCCTGCAGACCCTTCCCCATCTCCACAACCATCCTTTGGATGCTCTCTCACAGCTCCGTGTCCTTCTCACACAGCAGCACCCAACCTGCACCCTGTGCTCGAGGTCAGACCGCAGCACAGAGCAGACAGGACGGTCCCTGTCCTCGCCAGCACTGCTGGGCCTTCTGCTCCCCCAGAAGGGGAAGGGGCCCTTTTGGCTGCAGGGCCCCACCTGCAGACACACTGTGTGAGGCACAAAGTGCACAAACAGACACATGCTGTAACTGCACTCAGCTCTGGGAAGTGCAGATACTGAAACTAAGAGTGAAGGAAGGCAGAGAGCCTCAGTTCTTGCACATGGGGCAGCCCCCCTTCCACATGACAGCCATCCCCAGAACAACCTGAACGCTCCATGGCCTCTCCAGCCCTGACAGAGTCAGCAGATCATTGCTCTCTATAACTTCCTGAAGGGAGGCTGTAGTGAGCTGGGGGTCGGCCTCTTCTCTCGTGTCATCAGTGATAGGACCAGAGGGAATGGTTTCAAGCTACGGCAGGGGAGATTCAGGCTGGACATGAGGAAGTATTACTTTTCAGAAAGGGTGGTCAGGCACTGAAATGGATGCCCAGGGAGGTGGTGGAGTCACGGACCCTGGGGGTGTTCAAGGAAAGGCTGGATGTTGTGTTGAGGGACATGATTTAGTAGGAGCTGTTGGGAATAGGTGAACGGTTGGACTGGATGAGCTTTCAGGTCTTTTCCAACCTTGGTGATTCTATGATTCTATGATTCTATGATTCTATGATTCTATGATTCTATGATTCTATGATTCTATGATTCTATGATTCATGGCAGTGCAGTGCCATCCACAACCTTCCTCACTGCACCTCAGTGACAGTTTCCAGCCATGGAGAGAACACTGAAGAGAATCAGCCCTGACACGGAGCCCAGCGGAACCCCCCATGGCTGCCACCAGCACAGTGCCCCCCCGTCCCAGATCCCGGAGCCCCGGTCTTCCCCCACAGCACTGTGTGCGTGTGTAGCTGTGTGCTGAACGCTTCATCCTGACCATTCCTCCAGCAATGTGCTGCCCGTCCTGCTGCTGCCTCCGAGCTGCAGAGCGCCCACATCACCTGCACACGCCAGCTGAGGCCCAAGGGCCCACAGACGCCTTTCCCGTAAGCGCGCTCCGTTCCAGCAGTGCAGACAACACATCTCGCAGCAAAGGCTGCTGGAGAACCTCAGCTCTCGCACCGAGGGCAGCTCCCCTTCCACATCCCCGCCATCCTCCACAGCAGCCTGCATGCCCACAGCCACGGGCACCAGCCCTCCACATCCCATCCCCGCAGGCACAGCCGGCACTGGGCCTCGTCCCCACTGCACCGTGTGTGCGACCACCTCCTGCCAGCACTGCTCAGCACAGCAGAACCCAGGGCACAGACGGATGCTCCTCCACACAGCAATGCTCAGTGTTTATTGACAGCTCCTTCAGGCCCATCACCACACACCCTGCCTCACATCACCCCATACAGACAGCAGGAACGGCACAGCAGAGGAGGTCCCTGTTCTGGGACTGACCCCTGGCTGCCTACAGGAAGGTACAAAACTTTTCACGCAATGTCTGTGTGTCTTCCTCCAGCATTTCCTGTGTGTAACACGGAGCTCTGAGATTCTTCTCGACCATGGCATCAATCATGCTGATGAGATCTGCAACCTGCCGATCCCTCGCCTCCCCACTGGCTCTGTTGCTGAAAGCAATGCATCGATTTCCACACTTGTCTGCCATCACTTTGAGGTATGGTCTCTCTTCTATGAAAACACTGAGGTCTTCTGGATGCTTCAGCTCCTCTGCTCGGGTGAATAACAGGATTGTGTACTTGCGTGTTTTCTTGTGGAACATCTTGGTCACCCACTCAGCCACTTTCTCCTCTTCCTCTGTGATTCGTCCCAGCTGCATCACCAGGATGATGGCATGGACACCTTCACTGGTTTTCTGAAAGGCATTCTTAATCTTTTCAGCTGTTTTTTCATTGGTTTCCCTTGTATCAAATAGGCCAGGAGTGTCGATAACAAGAACTGGTCTTCCATTAACATGGTCCTTGACGTCCTTGCACTCTTGGGTTACCAAATGTGCTGACAACATGGAACGAAATGCCTCCTTCCCAAGGATGGTGTTCCCTGTCGCACTCTTGCCGGTCCCCGTCTTGCCCACCAGCAGGATCCTCAGCTCGGACTCTGTGGACCAAGCAGAGACGAGTGTGAGCCCCGCGGTGCCAGGACACCCCCTGCTGACCACGGAGTGCCGGCGCCACGAGGAAAGGTGTCCCCGAGCCACCGCTGTGCCCTGCGGGGACGGGACGGGGCACGGGCTGGAGCCGGCTGCCAGCAGGCACGCAGCGCTCGCTCGGCCCCGTCCGCCCTCAGCCTCGCTCTGTGAGCTCTCAGCGCTCAGAGATGGGAGGCAGCCTCAGGACGCCCCCGAGGCCACGGCCTCCCACGAAGCCCACATGAACTCCCCGTGCTTCCCAGCACTCAGCCAGGAGCCCGGCTGGGCTGCAGCTGCCTGCATGCGGAGCTGAGCGGCTCACCTTTGCTGTGACGTCCTGCCATCGGGACAATGCTCATAGAGGGAGCCTGAAAGGAGAGAGATTTTAAGTGAGAATAGCACAAACCTCCTGTGCTTCCCTCCCTGTGCTAATGAAAGTGATGCAAATGATCAGTGCACCATCCCTGGGACACATCACTGTGAGGACATACGAGCACATGGGCAGCTGCATGACAAGGACTGCAGCCCTGCAGTCCCCTGCCCAGGGCTGAGAATGGGGGCAATGCTGCTGGTGTGAGCATGGACTGCCACGAAAGGCCTTCTGCCCATCACACTCCTGCCATCCCCAGTTGTGAGCAGTGGGTGCAACCTCAGCACCCCGAGCCACAGCCTGCACTTTCAGTACTGCACTGCCTGGAGCTGAGAGCATTTATGGGAAATGCCTCTTTGTGGGGCTTCTGGCCCATGGCTCAGTCTGTACGCGGATGGCACCACAGTGGCAGCACTGCTGCCTGGGCATGGCCTGCAAAAGCTGGGAACCTGGAGCATCACTGCACTCCTCTTGGGGCCCTGAGAGCGGCAGGATCACAGAATGCCCTGAGTTGGAAGGCACTCCTGGCTTCCACACTGAACATTCCAAACCCAAACCCTATGCCTGAGAACGGTGTTTCAGGGCTCCAGCAGCTCAGCCTGTGCCCACTTCCCAGGGGAGCTGCTCCATGCCCTCTGCCCTCGGGCGCAGCCTTTCCCTCACCCGCAAACAACACTCCTCTAACAGCTCCATGCTTTCCGATGGGGGCTGTCACTGTCAGAGTGGAGCTCAGTGCTGCTCCTTCTCAGCAGCCATAGGGCCATTAGGGGCTGCAAGGCCACGAGGAGGTGCAGCTGCAGTGAGCCCTCCCCTCAGCCTCCTCTGCTTTGGGCCCAATAAACACAGGGCCCTCAGCTCTCCTCACACCCCTTGCCCTGCAGACCCTTCCCCATCTCCACAACCATCCTTTGGATGCTCTCTCACAGCTCCGTGTCCTTCTCACACAGCAGCACCCAACCTGCACCCTGTGCTCGAGGTCAGACCGCAGCACAGAGCAGACAGGACGGTCCCTGTCCTCGCCAGCACTGCTGGGCCTTCTGCTTCCCCAAAAGGGGAAGGGGCCCTTTTGGCTGCAGGACACTGCAGGCTCATGTCCACTGGGCCGTCCCACAGCCCCCAGAGCCCTTCTGTGCAGCTGTCAGCCACCCTCTGCTCCCCCAGTCCGTACTGAGAAGCCATGTCCAGCCACTGAAGGGAACACTGAACAGAACCAGCCCTGAAATGGAGCCCTTTGGAACCCCCAGGGACTGCCACCAGTGCGTGCCACCCGTGTCCCAACGCATGGGCCTGAGGCATCAGCACAGCTTTCACCAATCTCACTGGGTCTGTGCCTGTCTGTGTGCTGGGTGCTTTGTCTGCAATGTTCTGTGAGCAATGGTATGGAAGGCACTGCTGGACTCCAAGAGAACTACTTCACTCAGCTCCCCTTGGTCTACTGAGTGGGAGAGATGTCCCAAAGGAGATGAAGCTGGCGGAGGGGTGAGCAGGCAGAACAATCCCACCAGCCAGAAGGTAGGCACGAGGATCTCCGAGCAGCAAGCTCCAGCCCAGCACCAGGCACGGGGCTTGGCATCCCAAGAGCTGCGGCAGCAACCAGCACAGTGTGCCAGGGAGCTGTGGAGCTCCCATTGCTGCCTACAGACACCTAGGGCTTCCAGACCGGTGCACAATGTCTCACAAACACGCTGTTGCCATAGATATGCCCAGGGCTGATAACAGAAATACGAGCAAAGGGAGGGAGAGAGCACCTCAGCACTTGCATCATGGGCCGCTCCCCCTCCCCACCAAGGGCTTGCCTCATTCTTGCACTCAGGACCAGGGCTGATGGCCCCACAGGGACAGGGCTGCTCATTGGGCTGCCCACACAGCTCTTCTGCTGGCTGCTCTCAACAAGGGAGGCGCGAAGCCTCGCATCCACGCGCTGCTCAGCACTGCATCCGTGTGCCCCAGCATGAGGCTGTCAGCACTGGGCCTGGTCCTGACCACATCAAATGCGTAACCACCCCCTCCCAGCCCTGCCCAGCACAGCAGAACCCAGGGCATGCGCAGGTGCTCAACCAGACAGCGGGGCTCAAGCACTTGTTGAGAGCTCCTTCGGGCACCACACTCCGTGCCCCACATGTACCGCGAAGGCGGGGAACGGCACGGCTGAGGAGGCTGTTTCCTCTCTGACTGAGCCCTTGCTTCCCACACGATGGTACCGACCTTCTCCAGCATTTCTCGCGTGTAACACGGAGCGTCACCATTCTGCTCTACCATGGCGTCAATCATGGCGATGAGCTCTGCAACCTGCCGATCCCTCGCCTCCCCAGTGGCTCTGTTGCTGAAACCGAGGTACCGATTTCCACACTTGGCTGCCAGCTCCTTGAGGCATCCGCTCCTTTCTATGAACCTCTTCAGATCTTCGGGATGCTGCAGCTCCTCTGCTCGGGTGAATAACAGGATTGTGTACTTGTGTGCTTCAGTATGGGACATCTTGGACAGCCACTGAGCCTCTTCCAGTGTGATTGGGCCCAGCTGCATCACCAGGACGATGGCATGGACCCCTCCGGACAGGAACTGAAAGGCTTTCTTCTCAGCTGTTTTCAGGTTGTCTTCCATAGTGACATGAAAGCCAGGAGTGTCAACAACAACCAGTGACCGTCCAGCAGAGCAGCCTTTGACTTCCTTGCACTCTTGGGTTACTGACTGTGGTGACAGATAAGATTCAAATGCCTCCTTCCCAAGGATGGTGTTCCCTGTCGCACTCTTGCCACTCCCTGTCTTGCCCACCAGCAGGATCCTCAGCTCGGACTCTGTGGACCAAGCAGAGATGAGTGTGAGCCCCGCGGTGCCGGGACACCCCCTGCTGGCCACGGAGTGCCGGCGCCACGAGGAAAGGTGTCCCCGAGCCACCGCTGTGCCCTGCGGGGACGGGACGGGGCACGGGCTGGAGCCGGCTGCCAGCAGGCACGCAGCGCTTGCTCGGCCCCGTCCGCCCTCAGCCTCGCTCTGTGAGCTCTCAGCGCTCAGAGATGGGAGGCAGCCTCAGGACGCCCCCGAGGCCACGGCCTCCCACGAAGCCCACATGAACTCCCCGTGCTTCCCAGCACTCAGCCAGGAGCCCGATGGGCTGCGCCTGCCTGCATGCAGAGCTGAGCGGCTCACCTTTGCTGTGACGTCCTGCCATCGGGACAATGCTCATAGAGGGAGCCTGAAAGGAGAGAGATTTTAAGTGAGAATAGCACAAACCTCCTGTGCTTCCCTCCCTGTGCTAATGAAAGTGATGCAAATGATCAGTGCACCGTCCCTGGGACACATCACTGTGAGGACATACGAGCACATGGGCAGCTGCATGACAAGGACTGCAGCCCTGCAGACCCCTGCCCAGGGCTGAGAATGGGGGCAGTGCTGCTGGTGTGAGCATGGACTGCCACGAAAGGCCTTCTGCCCATCACACTCCTGCCATCCCCAGTTGTGAGCAGTGGGTGCAACCTCAGCACCCCGAGCCACAGCCTGCACTTTCAGTACTGCACTGCCTGGAGCTGAGAGCATTTATGGGAAATGCCTCTTTGTGGGGCTTCTGGCCCATGGCTCAGTCTGTACGCGGATGGCACCACAGTGGCAGCACTGCTGCCTGGGCATGGCCTGCAAAAGCTGGGAACCTGGAGCATCACTGCACTCCTCTTGGGGCCCTGAGAGCGGCAGGATCACAGAATGCCCTGAGTTGGAAGGCACTCCTGGCTTCCACACTGAACATTCCAAACCCAAACCCTATGCCTGAGAACGGTGTTTCAGGGCTCCAGCAGCTCAGCCTGTGCCCACTTCCCAGGGGAGCTGCTCCATGCCCTCTGCCCTCGGGCGCAGCCTTTCCCTCACCCGCAAACAACACTCCTCTAACAGCTCCATGCTTTCCGATGGGGGCTGTCACTGTCAGAGTGGAGCTCAGTGCTGCTCCTTCTCAGCAGCCATAGGGCCATTAGGGGCTGTAAGGCCACGAGGAGGTGCAGCTGCAGTGAGCCCTCCCCTCAGCCTCCTCTGCTTTGGGCCCAATAAACACAGGGCCCTCAGCTCTCCTCACACCCCTTGCCCTGCAGACCCTTCCCCATCTCCGCAGCCATCCTTTGGATGCTCTCTCACAGCTCCGTGTCCTTCTCACACAGCAGCACCCAACCTGCACCCTGTGCTCGAGGTCAGACCGCAGCACAGAGCAGACAGGACGGTCCCTGTCCTCGCCAGCACTGCTGGGCCTTCTGCTCCCCCAGAAGGGGAAGGGGCCCTTTTGGCTGCAGGACACTGCAGGCTCATGTCCACCTGGCCGTCCCACAGCCCCCAGAGCCCTTCTGTGCAGCTGTCAGCCACCCTCTGCTCCCCCAGTCCGTACTGAGAAGCCATGTCCAGCCACTGAAGGGAACACTGAACAGAACCAGCCCTGAAATGGAGCCCTTTGGAACCCCCAGGGACTGCCACCAGTGCGTGCCACCCGTGTCCCAACGCATGGGCCTGAGGCATCAGCACAGCTTTCACCAATCTCACTGGGTCTGTGCCTGTCTGTGTGCTGGGTGCTTTGTCTGCAATGTTCTGTGAGCAATGGTATGGAAGGAAATGGTATGGAACAGAAATACAAGCTAAAGGAGGGAGAGAGCACCTCAGCACTTGCATCATGGGCCGCTCCCCCTCCCCACCAAGGGCTTGCCTCATTCTTGCACTCAGGACCAGGGCTGATGGCCCCACAGGGACAGGGCTGCTCATTGGGCTGCCCACACAGCTCTTCTGCTGGCTGCTCTCAACAAGGGAGGCGCGAAGCCTCGCATCCACGCGCTGCTCAGCACTGCATCCGTGTGCCCCAGCATGAGGCTGTCAGCACTGGGCCTGGTCCTGACCACATCAAATGCGTAACCACCCCCTCCCAGCCCTGCCCAGCACAGCAGAACCCAGGGCATGCGCAGGTGCTCAACCAGACAGCGGGGCTCAAGCACTTGTTGAGAGCTCCTTCGGGCACCACACTCCGTGCCCCACATGTACCGCGAAGGCGGGGAACGGCACGGCTGAGGAGGCTGTTTCCTCTCTGACTGAGCCCTTGCTTCCCACACGATGGTACCGACCTTCTCCAGCATTTCTCGCGTGTAACACGGAGCGTCACCATTCTGCTCTACCATGGCGTCAATCATGGCGATGAGCTCTGCAACCTGCCGATCCCTCGCCTCCCCAGTGGCTCTGTTGCTGAAACCGAGGTACCGATTTCCACACTTGGCTGCCAGCTCCTTGAGGCATCCGCTCCTTTCTATGAAGCTCTTCAGATCTTCGGGATGCTGCAGCTCCTCTGCTCGGGTGAATAACAGGATTGTGTACTTGTGTGCTTCAGTATGGGACATCTTGGACAGCCACTCAGCCTCTTCCAGTGTGATTGGGCCCAGCTGCATCACCAGGACGATGGCATGGACCCCTCCGGACAGGAACTGAAAGGCTTTCTTCTCAGCTGTTTTCAGGTTGTCTTCCATAGTGACATGAAAGCCAGGAGTGTCAACAACAACCAGTGACCGTCCAGCAGAGCAGCCTTTGACTTCCTTGCACTCTTGGGTTACTGACTCTGGTGACAGATAAGATTCAAGTTCCTCCTTCCCAAGGATGGTGTTCCCTGTCGCACTCTTGCCACTCCCCGTCCTGCCCACCAGCAGGATCCTCAGCTCGGACTCTGTGGACCAAGCAGAGACGAGTGTGAGCCCCGCGGTGCCGGGACACCCCCTGCTGGCCACGGAGTGCCGGCGCCACGAGGAAAGGTGTCCCCGAGCCACCGCTGTGCCCTGCGGGGACGGGACGGGGCACGGGCTGGAGCCGGCTGCCAGCAGGCACGCAGCGCTCGCTCAGCTCTTCCTGGCCCTGTCCCCTCTCTCAGCTCTCCCACAGGAAACTGATCGTGCCCAGCAGGAAGCCAAGCCCAAACTGAAGGTTCTGAACAAAGGATCCTCTGCAAAAAGGACACAAAGCCCCACGGCTGCACTGAAATGCTCACAGCACGGCTCCCACCGCCACCTTCCCCAGTCCGTGGAGAAGCAGCTGGGGACTGCGGCCAGTGCAGCAGCTCCTCTGGCTTTGGTGCCACACAGCCCACAGCGTCTCCTCACTGCCACAAGATCGGCTCCAGCTTCACCCCAGCGCCAACAACACGCTGTGGGCAGCCCAGCTCCCCCCCTGCAGTGGCCTCAGGCTCCATCGGGAGGAACGCGTGGCCCTGAGGCTGCCCAGGAATGTCCGTCTCTAGCATTGCTCAGAGGGCTGCACCCAGTGCTCCTCCAAAAGCAGGAACAGAAAGTGAAGGCGATCTGACAGCAACCTGAGTCCCAGCACTGGGTGGAGTAAGCAAAAGCCCAGGCTGAACTGCTCCACTTCCGAGAATTCAGGCGCTCAGCAGAAAATGCAGCAGCGTTTGTGCAGGGTTGTTTTTTCCGCCCCTCCCTGCCCTGCGCGGCTTCAGTGACGCACGGCTTCCGTGCAACAGCCGCAGAGACAGCAAGGCTTGCCGTATGGCTTTCCCCCTGCGCTGTGTCTCAGGCTGTACCCACCGCACACCGCTGTGCCGCCCGCCCTCAGCCGTGCTCTGTGCGGCTCTCAGAGCGGGGAGATGGGAGGCAGCCTCAGGAGATGCAACAGCGCGCAGGGGGGGAGCAGCTTACCTGTGCTGTGACGTCCTGCCATCGGGAGAGCGCTCACACTCACACAGAGGAAGCCTGGAAGGAGAGAGATTTTGAGTGAGAGGGGCACAAAGCTGCCCTGCTTCCCTCCCTGTGCCAATGAAGGTGACACAGATGATCTCTGGGGACTCACGTCAGTCCCACAGCCGCGTGTGCATGGACAAAGCCAAATGGCATCAAAGTTACCCATCTGCATTGACTTTGTCAGCATCTTTGGAAAGAGATATTGGATGAATTGTATTCATAGAAGTCAGAACCCACTCCTCGGAAGCAGATTCTGCTGCCTTGGAATTTGTTCCGGCAGTGGCAGCAGAGCTGCAGCAACTCACCAAAGCAGCGCTGCGCTGTGTCCCAGCTCTGACTGCTGCACTCGTGCTGTTGCTGCTCTCGTCCCGCACAGCAGCGCCGGGGCTGGAAGCGCTGTGCAGCTCAGCAGCGCTTTTAGAGGCGGCGTCGGGAGGAGGGCAGTGCTGGGATCCCAGGTAGCGCTGCTCCACCATTGGCCACATCTGAGCTGCCCCAGTGCGGGGACACCGCCCGCTGTGCAAAGCCACATCCAGCCTGGACTCGGGCGCTGCCAGGGATGGGGCATCAGCAGCTCTTCCGGGAAACTCATTTATGGCCTCACCACCCTTGTCTTGAGGAATTCCTTCACGATACCTTCTCTGAAACTGCTCCATTTACATGTCAGCCATTCACCTTTGTCCTACTGGTTCACTCTCAGTGAACAGAAGCACAGCTGTGCCGTGCAGTGCTGCAGCCCTGGCACAAGGACCCAGAGGCTGTGGGGTTTTCTCCTTGTGCACATTCAGCCCTCACACATGAGGCTGTGCCACCTGTTCTGCGTGTCCCTGTGGAGGCAGGGGAGACCAAATCCCACCATCCCCAAACCACAGCTCACTTGGGGCCTCAGGCACCTCTGCAGACCACCCACTCTAACAGCCCCATGCCCTTCTCACGCAGCAGCACCCCATGCTCGAGGTCAGGCTGCAGCACAGAGCAGAGGGCACAGTCCCTTCCCTCACCAGCACTGCTGGGCTGCTGCACCCAGCGGTTGGGGCTCTTTTGGCTGCAGGGCATTCTAATGGCTCACATGCACCGGGCCGTCCCACAGCCCCCAGAGCCCTTCTGTGCGGCTGCTGTCCGACCTCTGCTCCTCCTCCCCCCATACTGAGAAGCCAAACCCAGTCACTGAAGGGAACACTGGAGAGAATCAGCCCTGAGATGGAGCCCTGTGGAGCCCCCAGTGACTGCCACCAGCACATCTCCCCCCGTGTCTCAACACGGCCAGCCCAGCATTCACCCATCACACCGTGCCCGTGTCCAGCTGTGTGCCAGGCGTTGTGCCTGCAGGTTCCTGGGAGCAATGCTATGGAGGCACTGCAGGAGCCGAAACAGCTCTGCATCCAACCGGCTGGATCCCCACGAGCAGCTCAGTGGGTGACTGCTGGACCTGCACACGGAGTTCCCAGGACAGGTTTTGCCCCTCACCAGCCCGCGTTGGCTGCTGACAATGACTGCGTTGTCTCTCAGCTCTGTGTGCAGCTGAGGGCAGCGGTCCCGGGGCTGCAGAGACCCCGCACAAGGGGAACCCCCCACCCCCGGCCGTCCCTTTGCCTGCTGCACGGGGCTGGACGGGGCCCAGAGGGGCCGTGTGGTTCCTGCTCAGCGTGTGACTTTCGGGAATGGGAGCGGCTCAGCCCGGGCTTTGGTTCACCCGAGGGCAGCAGGAGCAGCAGGAATGCTTTCACTTCCTGTTGTCACACAGCCCAGAGCTCAGCGCCCTGCGCTCCCTTGGGGGCTCGAGTTCCCCCTGACGGCGACAAAGAACAACAGCTGCACTTTCTCCTCCCTTTTCCAGAGGCCCCTCGTGGGGATGGGCTCTGTCCGGGCTGTGATTCCCGCTGGTTTCAGAACAGTGCTGATGCTGCTGACGGCGCCCTGGACCGCTGGGAGCAGCAGGAAGCAATGCTGCATGCAGAGCGCTAATTAAAACACAAACATTACACTAATTACCGTAATTATCCTTTAGTGCCTCCATAAGCAATGCTCAGGGATCTCCCCAAACCCTGCGCCCACCCCGCGCAGCGCGCAGCGGGCGACGTCGCGGCGGCACCGGGCGCTGCGCTCCGGCGAGTCGAAGGCGTCGGGCGCGTCCACCGCGTGCACGCCGTAAGCCCTCCACGAGCCGCTCCGCCGCTCGCTCCTCCGCGCCACCGCACGCGTGGGGTGAATCGCGGGGAGCAGCCGGGGGTTGGCTGAAGGCTCCGCGGCAGGGCCAAAGGTGGCGCATTCCATAAGCGCCTTTCCCGTCCACGCTCCCGTTTCCCGTCAACGCGCTCGGTTCCCTCAGCGCCGTCCCGGGCAGCGGAGCCGCGCGGTACCGCCGCCCCCCTCGAGCTCGAACGGACGCGCCGCCCCGCCGCCCCGCGCTCCCTCAGCGCCGCGTCCCCCAGCCGAGCTCCTCCGCGCCGCGCGGCCCCGGGGGTCGCCACCCGCTCTGCCGGCCCCGCTCTCGCCCAGCACCCGGGCCGAGCTCCCGGGGGCTCCGGGGTGGCCGGACGCTTCCCGACCCGCCGCGACGCGACGCGCTCCCCTGGGGGCTGCCGGCCCGACGGGGAGCGGCGCGCCGCCGGCACCGGGGCTGCTCGCAGGGCGGCTCCGAGCCGGGGCGGCTCCTCGGTGCCCGCTCTCACCCGGCGCCGTTCGGCCCCGGCCGCAGCCGCGCAGCCGTCGCGGTTTCGAGTTTTTTCCTCGTTATTCCACATTCCCTGCGTCACGCAGCGATGGGAGTCAACGGGGCGACGCGGCGGCTCCGAAGAATGAGCTACAATTCCCAGAAAGGCACGGCGCTCCCACAACGCTTTATTTTGTGATTTCCATCTTCCAGGAGGAGGCCATGACAGCAGAACCCAAAGCTCACAGCAGCGCTCTCCTTTGCTACCTGTGTGTCACAGCTGCTGCAGCATCGGCACGAGAACTTTGCGTTTTGGAAACTCTCGTTTGTTCAGTAGCTTCAATTCCAATTACATTTCACTACTACAATTAGAAAACTAAGTCCTTCTTTCCTTAGCTCATTGCCACCGCTTCCCTTGTCCGGATCCACCTCCCTTCCCTTCCCCTCCTCTACCCCCTTTTTGGCATGGACCCGTGGGTCTCGTCACGGTGATTAGATCTTAATTACGGCAAACACAACCAACACGACGACTCCCCTCGCCCCTCGCTCTGCCTGAGGGCGATGCTCACAGCCCTGTGCAGCACCTCATCAGCCTGCACATCCCGGTCCCGCCTCGGCGCTCTGTTGCTCACAGCACAGCACTGCTTCCCGCACGCCTTCACCAGCTCCCGCAGCGCTCCTCTGTCGGCCGCCTTCACGTATTCATCCAGCGAGCCGCCCCCCAGGTCTTCCTTCCTTGTGAACACCACCATCATGCGCTGCTTAGCGCCCTTCCCAAACAGCTTCTGCACGCTCTCCTGCACCTCGCGGTCCTCCCGCGTGTAACGGCCCAGCTGTGTCACCAGCAGCAGCACGCAGGGCTCCCGGGCAGCGAATCTGAGGCAGCGCTGGCGCTCCTCGGCCAAACGCTGCTCGTCCCACTGAGAGCCCCCGAAAATCGCCGGGGTGTCCATGACCACCACGCACCACTCGCCCCAATCCCGCCTGCCTTCTTTGCACGTGGTGGTGACGGGTTGGGACGCCAGCCGGGACTCGAAGCGCTCCTCGCCCAGCAACGTGTTGCCGGTGGCGCTGCGCCCCGCTCCGCTCCGCCCCAGCAGCACAACGCGCAGCTCCGGCCGCCGACCTGCGGGGACAGCGGGACACGGCTCGGACGGGACGGACAGCTTCTTCTCCAGGGACTGCCGACCCCACGCCGAGCTTCCATGGACCCCGTCCCGTTACAGACAACACCCTCAGAGCACGGACCCCGCGACCGGACAAGGAGACCGGGCCCCAAACCAGCAGGCACACAGGGCTCGTGGGCCGCATCCGCCCTCAGCCTCG